GGTATGTAATTTTTAATGTTATGTACTTTGTGTTTACCTATTTCCACAATTACTATGGAACACACATGCATCTGATGATGATGGCATTGAATGCTTTTTCATGGCTTATCTGTTCTTGTGAAGTATATGTTCAAATTCTTTGCCTTTTAAAAATTATGTTTTATCATTTTAGTGTTGTGCTGTTGGAGTACTTGTCGCTCATTTCAGGTACAGTTCCTTTGTCAGATATGTTTGCTGTGAATATTTTCTTCAAGTCCATCTTCTCTTTTAGAATTTTAAACTTTGGTGAATTTCATTTTATCAATATTTTCTCACATATATTTAGTCCTTTCTGTGAAATTTTTCTTGCCCTAGGTTGGAGAGATAGATTGTTGTTTTCTAGATGCCTGATTGTTTTAAGATTTACATTTAGGTAAATCTCTGAATCAGGTCTTCTGAAGTGGGGTTGTGGTTCCTAGCACCATTTGCCTTGACTGGTGAGGAACTTCACCTCACTGTACAGGTTTGCTCCAGAAACTGCATCTGGGTTTTTTGGGCTTGTTTGCCAGTGGGATGACACAGCTTTCTCTACTCTTGAGTGGGAGTAGAGGTAGGAACTTAGTTTCTCACAGATTATAAAGCAATAGTGATCTTCCCAGGTAGCAGAATCTGTTAACTTGATGTTGACCATCTAGAACAGTGGTGGCGAACCTATGGCAGGTGTGCCACAGCAGGCACACCAAGCCTTCTCTGTTGGCACATGAGCCAAGTCGCCCCAACCAAGGTTTGACAAATTATCAGCATGCATACAACAGCAAAAGTTACATTAATTGTACAGAAGCTTGCCAAATGCAAACTTTTACCTTTCAGTAAAAAGCTCTTTGTATCATTGAAAGCTCTGTTACTGTGTTTCTCTTTTAAGACAAATGATATTAATGTATGAGTTGTTTTTTCTAAAATAAAACCTCAGTATTTGAGTTTAATTGCAATGTTGGCACTTTTCGATAAATAACTGGGTTTTGGGTTGCAGTTTGGGCACTCAGTATCTAAAAGATTGGCCATCACTGTTCAAGAGTATTCTATTTATGTGATCAATTCATGTTTTAAAAGTTGATTATCTCCCACTTATACCACCTTATGTGTATTTTGTTGGGATGTAAGTATGTTTTTATTCACAGATAATATCTGTGTCTAGTGGATGTCTTCCATGATTGTACTCTTCAATTCATCATGATAATAACTCATTTCTACTTCTTATGAGTAGAATGATTGTCATTTTCTTTGTGCTTTTAAAATGACTTAATTTTGGATGTGCGTTTGCAAAGAACATACTCAGTGTCATAAAAATATACTTTAATCATGCATTAAAGCTATCACAGAATTTGAAATTTAGCACTTAAATATTTGAATATTTATACTGTTGGTGTTTATGAGTTACTAAAGCACAGAAGATATATTTGCTATATGATTAAAGAGCTCTGGAAGGAGGGGCTTTTTCAAAAGGGACAAGTGCAGATTGCCTATCAGAAAAAGAATAATTGTTTTAGGCAGAAGTGCTGAGTGTGGATAGAGTATGGGCAATGAAAATGTAGGTAACAGGCAAATCCTGAAAGTTAACCTGTGGTCAATAGTAAAAAACTTGTATGTCATGATACAAATCTGTATTATGTTCTGATTGTCAAATAATAGACATTTTTGGGTGGGGATTAACGTAATCCTTAGGGTTTTTTAAAAAAAATTCATTTGGAATTCAAGTTGATTAGGGAAATTATAAAAATGGAGACCATTTAGTATTATCTTCTCTTTAAATAGGTAAAAAATAATGAGTAGTAGTGAGGCTAGGAGAAGGTCTGTGTTTAGGAAGCTTTACAAGGAGAAAAAGTGATTCTATCAGTTACTCTTTGATTTTGCTACAGAGGAGCCCATAAAGCTTGGTTCATGGGAATGAGTCAGATGAAATTTTCCTAGTAGGAGGACACCTTTTGAAGTACAGTGGCAGGGAACATTTATTGCTGGAAGGAGGATTTAATTGAACTAGTTCAGAGAGGACAGTACTGTTGTTACTTTACATGGTAATATTCACTGCTATTTCATTGCGTGTTACCTGATAGCAAATGGAATAGTATATTTTCAAAGAAAAAAATGTCATTAGCTTTAATACTAGCATTTATATTGAAGTATATTTGTAATTTTAACCTCCTTTATACTAAATGTGCTCTGAAATTCTTAAATTCTGTGTGTTCATTTCCTAAATACAGTCTGTTATTAAGCTGTGTGGGTTTGTGAGGGCAGGCAGCAGTTGTGTGTTGTATATGTGCTGTGAGATAAAATTGGGGGTTTTCTATTTCCAATCTGTCCCTCCTCTGATATTAGTGTGTTGTTAGGTTTTGTTTTTTGGTGGGTTTTTTTTTGATAACAGGGATCGAACTAGGGTCCTTGCCGCTTGAGCAGCAGGCGACAAAACCACTGAGCTAAATCCCCGGCCCAGTATGTTGCTAGGTTCAGGTGTCAGCTCAAAGTGCTGGTGAGAAAGCAAATTCTTAGTTGTAGGCATGGCCTGTTAAAATACAGCAGAACAAGGTCATTGTTGATGGGCTTTCACTAGGTTGTGGGGTGCACATGGCTCCTCCTTTATCTCTGTCGAATACCCTTAATGATTCCCTGGCAGAAGTTGAAACATGTCCCTGAGTTTACATATTGACAGAGGCACTAAAGAAAGTACAAGTTGTAGCATGAATGTAAGGTTAAAATTATTCAAGAAGTCAGGATCTATTAAAACAATTTGACTAAGTCTCTAAAATTTAAAAATGTGTATTTTAACTGAACATGTTTGTAGGCAGATGGCTTTGCTTTATGTTTCTCCCTACCTTCTCCTCTTCCTCCTCTTTATTCTTCCTCCTCCTCCTCCTCTTCTTCTTCTTCCTCCTCATCATTGTCTTCTTCTTCTTCCTCTTCTTCCTCCTCCCCATCATTTTTGTTGTCTTCTTTCTTCTTTCTTTCTTTTTTTTTTGGAGGTGTAGTCTTTCAGTGTTGTCCAGGCTGGTCTTGAACTCCTGGGCTCGAGTGATCATCCTACCTCAGCCTCCTGAGTGGTGGGACTACAGGTGCATATCATTGTACCTGGGTATCTGACTTAGCTTTCTAATATTTTAGAAGTTTGAGTTGGTACCTTGGGACCTTGAGCTTGCAAGGCAGGCGGTGGAACCACTGAGCTAAATCCCCGGCACGAGAACTTTTGCTACTATATTTTGTCATAAATGTTTTTCTCAATCTTATAATCACAACTGAGTTCCATAAAAAGGAACAGTTGTCACTATATATCTAAAAATTAAAGGCTATTAAATATGTTATGTCTGTTACCATGCGACAGAATACTAAACCTCTCTTGAAAATATAAGATCTAAAGAACGTGAAAAAAAAGAATATGTTTCAAAGTATTTGAGAGGTATTTACTATACTTTTGTTACTTCTGATAACTACAGGTGTTGCTCTTTTTAAAATATATCTATTGCAAAAGACTGATGGAAAAGTGGATTGGATAGCTAGCAAGGAGAGTGAAACTGAAAGATAACAGAGGAATTGTATGTAACAGCTCAGGAGCCTTGAAATCAGTTGGGCATCTTTACTGTCTGATGCTTAGCTATGAAAATGGTAGTGAGACCAGAGACTGGAAGGTTGAAGTGACCATGTTTGTAATAATGAAAATTTACATTCTTTTGTAAGTCTTTTATGAATATGTATATATAGGTTTATACTTACTAATTATAGAGCTATGTTAAGATTTGTTTCACACATAACTCCAAAGAGTATTGCTGTTATATGAATAAAAAGTGCCTCCTCGGGGCTGGGGATTTAGCTCAGTGGTTTCACTGCCTGCTGCACAAATGCAAGGACCCGAGTTCGATCCCTGGTACCAAAAAAAACCAAACAACAACAACAACAAAAAAGTGCCTCCAACCATTCTGGGCTTTTATAATTGAGGAATATGGAAAAATATAATAACAAAATCATTATGTACAAAAGGAAGCAAATCTTTTGGAACAGTGTGACATTAGTGAAACTCAGTTGCTTTAAGATGTACAGTATTTAGCAAATAAGGTTTTATAATAAGTTTGAGTCTGAAGGTTAGTATAATAACTGGTGATGTTAGCTTTTGGTAAAGTAGTATGAACTTACCTCTGGTTCTTTTAGCTGTCAGAATAAACTGAATGTAAAAGAAAGAAACTTCCTGTGTTAGAACAGTATTTACAAAAATATAAAAATAGACTCACAAGGTTGTTGGCTGTCCTAAAAAGGAATAAGATAGAGGGAGGAAGGGTGGACCAAAACAGGAAGAAGGAATGAATTTGCTTAAGTTTTGAGATGTAAGGTTGACGTTTCAGATTATATAACATTCATCTATTCTATATCATATTACATAGATATTTTTAGATATTTAAATGTATTATATATTAAAATTTATGGAAGACTATTCTACATTATATATAATTTAAAGATTTACTCAATATATTATGTAGAAGAATAACGTTTAATATTAAAACTTTAGATACTGGTTTTCAGTTTTGTCCTATGTTGTTAAAGCTACTACTGGAGAATTATTTATATATAATATGCTTTCATTTTTCTGTCTGTTTTGTGCCAATCAATGCCATTCACAGTATTCACAGATTTTTATATCTCTGTGTTACTCATTTCCATTCATCAAATTATTTTATTTAGTAATATTTCTAATTATTTGAAACTTGCCTGAGAACGGACACACTGACAAAATATGGGATGATTCTTCCAAATTATTTTTCTTTTAATCGGAGGAGAGTTAATTGTGTTTAGTAGTTTACTAAAGAAATCATTAGTGACTTTGTCTATCTGAAATTTATATTGAAAGTATGAGTATAGGCAGTTTCTGATGTATTTTTCTTTTTTTGCTCTAGAATTATTTTTAAAGTACTTATGAATTAAAACTTCGTGTCTGGTGTGCTATTGTTGCCTTGAGTTGATTATACTTCTTCTTTTTTTTTAAGGTAAAATGCAAGTTAAGAGTTCAGACATACAAGTTGGAGACCTCATCATAGTGGAAAAGGTTGATGCATTTTTAATATATTTTAGTCCTATATGTACCATTCATTAGCTTTAATTCTAATTGCAAGTAACTTATTAAAAGGAAATTGAGACAGATATTTTAAATCCTAATGTCTGTAAGATTTACTGTATTTGAGCAAAAATATAGATGTTTATATATTGTCTGTTTTGCCAAAGTATATTTCAACTGGGTAAATCATATTTTGTCTAAAATAAGAAATGCTGTTTGATGTCGCATTATAAGAATTATTTCATTTGACCACAGAATTGTTTTAGAACCTATTAATAATATTCTACCTAAGCTTTCAGAACTTCTATAGTTATATTTTGCGTAACTATTAGGTATAATTCTTATGGTTTAAAAATTCAAAGAGGGAGCAGGTGAATGGAACTAAAAGAGCAGAACAACAAAAAAAGTTTGGACAGTTTTAAGAAAAAGTCATTAAAAAAAGGAACAGAAGATCAAAAATAGAAGTTATCAGGGCTGCTCATGGTCTGGAGAGTGATTGAATGGGCACCCACGTTTAAAGGTTTGATTCTTAAGTGCTGTTTCTGCCTCATCCTGGAATATGTGAGTGCTGTGCACACTGCAAATGTTGTTTGCCCATGGAACATTAATGCTGTGGATGTTGTTTTCTGTAAGAATGACTGTGCTTGCCCTATATATTCTTGTTTAATGTCCCCATTGACTTTTTTTTTTTTCTGTGTTGGAGTTTGAACTCAGGGTCTTTCCATTGAGGTACATATTCGGCCCTTTAAGAAAAAAAATTTTTTTTTGTTAAATTTTGAGACAGAATCTTGCTAAGTTGCCAAGCCTTGGTCTGACCTTGTGATTCCCCTGCCTCAGTTTCTCAGAGTGCTGGGATTACAGTCCTGTGCCACCATACCTGGCTTTGATGTTCTTTTTAAGGCTCAAAGCACAATTTTTTGGTAAGTTTATAGGACAGGTTCCTGCCAAATCTCCCACAGAGTGGTCTGAGTTTGTGATGTCACCTGTTAACAGCTTGTCTAGGGCATACCTTAGCCTGCGAAATGATCTTCTAGCTGAAATGGTCTTTTTGTTACGTGTACCTTGAGACTATAATATTAAGTGAAATAAAACAGAAACATATGGTTTCTTTTATATGAGAAACCTAAAATATAAAGAACAAAATAAAAAATAGATAATAGAAAATAGGGAGATAGTTCTTTTGCAAAAAGGAGGGGGACCTAGAGATGGAGGGAGGGGAAGAGGATGAAAATAGAATTGAAATGTTTTATGTACATATGTCAGCTTCTCATGAGGAATGTAATAATGACTACATTCATTATGTACTGCAAACCTGTAATAATAAAAAAATAAAAATTGGAAAAAATCTGTACATAAAGGATGTAGTTTAATTTTATAAAATGGGATAAAACCAAGTAGTGTTTTGCACTTCATTTGCATACTGTTCAGTTGAATGGATACTGTTAATTACTAGCTTTTTATTCACTGGATTTTCAGTGAGATTTTATTTTTTCTACTATTACAAATTGCTGAGTGAATATCCTTACACATATATCTGTGTACATTTTAATAATTATGATGAAGTTGATTCAGTATATTAGTGCTATAAATTTTGATAGTTTTTTCTGCTTTTGTCATAGGCTGTATGTTTGCTATGTTGGTGGTTATGTTATTTTGAATACTTTTTAAGTACAAAATGCTTACTTTTTATTTTTTTTGTGGTGGGGATTGAACCCAGAGCCTGGAGCATGCTAAGCACACACTTTACCACTGAACCTTTTTTTATATTTTAAATATGGTATGATTAAGAAGGGGAGGAAGCTATCTCAGGTAAGGGCAGTATGTAGCTGAAAGGATTAGTAGCTATACAAAGTGTGACTCATCTAGGGAATTTTTAACCAGTTTTATGCTTTAAGAGTAGAATTGATATTTTTGAGAACAGATTGTATTGATTGAAATGTTTTTCATGTCATGCTGGCAATATGGTAAAAGTTTTTTGTCCTATGTTAATATTTTATTTTCTTCCTGATTTGGTAAGTTCATCTAGAAATTTAAGTAAGACAGTAATATGAATTCCCTTTATTGTTTGTTAATTTTTATTACTGGTTTAGTTTTTTTATGTCTATACATACCATATTGCTTTGAAAATGGTGTTGAGCAAAAGAAATTTTCTTGGGTCTAGTTGAACTGCTACATATGGAATATGTTTTCATGATATGGTTGCAGGTGGAAAACAGTGAGTTCCAGATTTTCTGATTTAGGCCCAATATTAAGGTCTTTATTTTTTTATTTTTTTTATTTTTTATTTTTTTTGGTACTGGGGATCGAACTCGGGTCCTTGCACTTGTGCAGCAGGCAGCGAAACCACTGAGCTACCTGGCCCAAGGTCTTTATTTTTTAAAGAGACCATTTGTAAGAATTCACTGTTCTTCTTGTTTTTTCCAAAGAAGCCATCTTTTGTTAAAAAATAAGCATTATTTGATTTAAAAAACCTTATAAACTAATATTTGCAGAGTATGTGCTCTGGATTGTTCTGGAGTTTAGTATAAATGGGATAATGGCTATCGAACTAGTTAAGTAAAAATCCATTCAAAGTCAAGGTTATATCTTTTTGCATTTGAGGAAAAGAAAGAAATTCCATAGATGGTTTCTGGGCTTCACAGGGAGACCTTAGAACAGTGGTGGCAAACCTTTTAGAGCTTTCAGTGATACAGACAGCCTGCTGCGGCATGTGAGCCATAAGATCACCACCACTCCCTTAGAAGTATCTAAAATGTGGGTCAAACATGCCACCTGAAATACTACTTGAACCCATATCAAGTAAGGCACCTGTGTAGAACCAGAGGCCTTCAAAAAGTGATGATGAAAACAAAGTCAGTAGAGAAGTTGGATTAGTAATATGAAAGATCTGAGAAAGAAATAACCAGATCTATCTAGATATTTACATTAGAAAATTCCTTGAAACCTTTATAGAGGATTTAGTGTCAATCTTACACAACAGTTTGCAGGAAATGATTGATGGTAGAATACCCATGCAGTCTTGCTCAAACGACTTGACAGATGCAAAAGCAATTAAATGGAGAAAAGGTAGCCTTTCTAAAGGTGGGTCTGGAGCAGCTACAGGTTTACAAAGAAAACCATGTATGGACTTAATGTAAAATGTATAACTGTAGAACTTATAGGAAAAAGCATGGGACAAAATATTTGAAATCTAGGGATAGGAAGATAGTTCTTAAACTATACACCAGTGAACAGTGCATAAAAGAAAAAATTGATGAATTACATCCATTCAAATTAAAACTGCTTTTTGAAAAACCATGTGAATATGGTAAAAAAAAAAAAAACAAGCTACAAATTAAGAGAAATCATTTGTAAATCATATGTTTAGTGGAGATTTTGTATCTGAAATACTTAAAACCTCTCAAAACCATAAAAAAAAAATCAGATTAGAATCTGGGTGAAAGATTCAGAGACTTTCTTTCCTAAGAGTTATTAGATGGAAAATAAGCACATGAAAAGAAATTCAACAGAAGTAGGCATCAAGAAATTGAAAGTTAAAATAATGAACTATCAGTACACATATCTCAGAATAGCTAAAGTTAAAAAAATGGTGACAACAAATATTAGCAATAGTCAGAAGAAAGATGACTTATACATTTCCCAGGGAAATGTCAAATGGTATAGTTATTCTGGAAAATCATTTGAAATTTCTTAATAGAAACTAAGTATGCAGCTATCATGTGACCTAGCAATTGCACTCCTGAACCTTTATTGCAGAGAAATATTATTTATGTTGATATAAAATATAGAAATGTTAACATCTGTATTATTTATAATCAAAGATCAGAAACATCCTCCACATTGTAAATGAAGAATCAGAGACACTTGTACATCCACACCATGTGGCATGTTAGGAAAACATTGCTCTCAGACTGTTTTCTGACTTAAAGAGAAGGAAAAGTAAATTAAAAGAATCCAGTAATTAATTTAATTTATCTGGTTTATGCATGTACTTCATACAAAATAAGACAGAAAAGGGAATGGAGAGTAATAGTCTGAAAGTCAAATTAGGAAAACAGTTCCATGTGTAAAAGCATCAAAAGGAATAAAGTACTTCAGAATAGATTTAACAAAGAAACAGATATTGCATTTTGAAAATTAGAAAACATTTTGAAACATAGTAAAGAAGACTTAAGTAAATGGAAAGACACCCCATATTGACAGATAAAGTATTGGTATTATTAAAATATCAGTACTTCTAAATTTATCTGTAGATTAATTCAGCCCATTTCAAAATCCATGTTGATTTCTTTGCAGATGCTGACCAGCTGATTGTAGATGTCATAATGGAATTACAAGATCCTAGAATAGCTAAAACAATTTTGAAAACTAATGAACAGACTTTGCATATTCACCCTTCTTCATTTCAAAGAAAGTGATGGTAATTTAGACAGCATGGACCTAGTAATAAGTTGGAAATTGAGAATGTGGAAATAAAGTCTGAAATTTAGGGTTCATTAATGGCAAGGGGTACTTCAAAAATTCAGTGGGAGGACACGTGCTTGGACAGTGGCCTTCTGTCCAGCCCACCGTTGATGGACATCTGCACTGCTTCTGCATTTTGCCCGTCATGGATGATACTTCTGTGTTACTTGATCAGTCTTTTCTCACACACAAATGCTCGTTGCCTGTGTACCTAGAGATGGAATGGGTTTGGGGTAGGAGTGTATTCCACGGTAGTAACTGATACACAGCTGTGCACAGTGGTGTGTCTGCATGATTGCCAACACTTGACATTTTCAGTCTAGTTTAGCATTTCTGTTATGTATATAGTTGTGGTTTTAAGGAATATTTCTCTGAAATCTAATAACTTGGAGACTTTTTATATGGCTTTCTGTGTCTTTTTTTTCTGAAGAGCCTGTGAAAATGTTTTGCTATTTTCTTTCTGAATTAGCTCTTTATTTTCTTAATAGTTTGTAGACCTTTATGTATTATGGGTCAGAGACTTTGATTACATATGTTACAAATACCTCTTCCTTCCCAGTGGGTGTGTTTGAACAGAAATTCTTGATTTTAATGAAACCCACATTATTAATCTTTTCATTTTCTTTCCTTTTATAAATATATGGGTGGTAGTAGTCTTGGTTAAGAAATCCCTCTCTATAAAAAAGCCATAAAATATTCTTGTAATGTTTTATGAATGAAAAGATGATTCATTGGGGAAAGAAAAACATTCTGTATTTCTTTAGGGGTGTTATAGTTTGGCCTTTTATATTTAGAACTGTAATTTAAATAGATTTTTATATTATGTTGAGGTAACGAATTACGTATCTTCACTATCCAGTTTTCTGTGGGTATCCAGTTTTCTCAGCACTATTGGAAAGAGCATCATTTCCTTCTTAGTTTATAGTGCCATCTTATAAATCTGGTGTTAGTATATATTTAGTATATAGTTTACGGACATTTAACATCTTTGCAATATGTATATTCTAATTACTGAACGTGATAGATTCTAAGTTTATTTAATTTCTCTCAGTAATGTTTTGTATTTTTATGTAAAGCCCATACACATGTTTTATTACTTTAATGTTGAGTTTTTATTACTAAAATGGGTATATAAATTTTAAAAATACTTTCTTGTTGTGTTAATTGTATAGATCTAAGTATATATTTATCTCTATGTATTTGTGTCATTTGTTTTTGCTCTTGTATCCATTTATATCCTTGTGCTTTCTTTGGACTTTCAAGTGGATATATAGCTCTTAAATTTTTTTTAGCCTCTTCTTCTCTATTCTATACACATTTATTATATATATATATATATATATATATTCCTCTTAACAGTTTTCTGACATTGGATGTTCTCATTTTCTTGTTCAGTTTTTATTATCTTTCAGTTAAAAAATATTTTTTCCAGTATCCATTGTGAATTCTTCCTTGACCTTAGGGTCCAGTGGATCTCACATAGTAACTCTCTTAGTGTTAGAGAGAAATAGTTCTACCAAACATCGTATCTGTTTTCAACTTTAACAACTTGTGTTTGTTTTAATTACTTATTGACTGACAAGTAAACCATTTTTTATCATATGTAGATAAATCTTTACTTAGTTGTCAAAAGTAATTTCATAAATTATGTGAAATATTCATATTTTAGATGCTTTTTCTTCAGGTTCATTTTTCCTTTAGCTTCTGAGATTGATAGAATTATTAGTAATAATGATTAATTGTATAACTAGTGACTTATAAAAAGTTTTATATGCATTCTAATCTGAAGTTACTCTTCTTTCTCATTATAACATTATTTTAGTTGTTTTTACTGGTCATTTCTACTGTGGAATGAGTTGTGTCAATATATAAGCCTGCATGTAGATAATAAATGTTTCATATTTTTCTTTGCAGAATCAAAGAATTCCATCAGACATGGTGTTTCTCAGAACTTCAGAGAAAGCAGGTATTTATATTACAGTTCTGCTGATTTAGTATTATGGCAGTTTGATGTTTTAAAGATAAAAGTAAAATTTATGTCTATAAAAATTCCTATTTGGATAATATTTTGAACTCATTAATTTCTAAATCACTTCTAGTTATTGCTGTTTAAAAAGATAACTTGATTTTATAAGATGTTTGCTAAAAAAATAATCATACGAGATCTTAACTGTCCAGTGAATGTTTTCATTCAAATTTATATTGAGACAATTAATGAAATGATGTTGCTCAAAATTTGACTGCTATTCTCTATTTTCAATTTTATTTATCAGTTCTGTAAAAAATTATTTACCTGTTATTTAGCCCCAGGGACTAACTGTTGCTTAAAATATAAAAGGGAGCAAGATCCATTTTCAGCCTTCAAAGACTTTATGGTTTATATATTTGTGGAAATGCATACAATGACAGTAATAATCTTATTCTGTAACAGTGAATTGTTTTGGACTATGGGAGAGAGGGTAGACAATTTTGTCTGGGTAAGTTGCCGTGAGCTTCACTAGAAGAATAATATTTAGATGATCTGAGTTTTCAGCAATAAGAAGCAAGTAGAAAGGGGTAATACGATGGAAGCTCATGTGGTCAAGTACAAAAGCTATGTTGGAAATGAAGACATCTCATTTTGAATCTCTCTGACCTGTTCCTAATGATATGATCCAGCTACTGTATATGGGCACATTTTCGTCATCTCTTGGCTGAGAGCCATATATGAAAGAATGTAGAGGTCCTTTCTGCCCTACACTTCTAATTTGAACAGATGAACCATCTTTTTATAGGAAGCTCAGCATATTCTTATTTCTAGTATCAATATCCTAGGAGAAATTCAGTTTCAGAAGTGTTGATTTTTCTTCCATTCATAAACAGCTTTTCTTTTTTTTTTTTTAGTGCATGTTTATCATACAGAATGATGATGTTCCATTTGGGGAATTATACATGCATGTAACATATCTTGATCATTTCATTCCCTTTTTTCCCTCCCTTTTCTCTTCCCCACTCCCCGTCTTTTTCCTGTCTTTAAGAGTCTACCTTCTAGCTCTCTATTATCTTTCCCTGATTTTATTCATTTATTTATATTTTAGGTTTCTCATGTAAGAGAAAACATGAGATATTTAAACTTTCTTTGTCTGGCTTATTTCACTTGACATGATGGTCTTGAGTTTTGTCCATTTTCCTGCAAATGACATGATTCCATTCTTTATGGATGAATAATATTCCACTATGTATATGTACCCCATTTTCATTACCCATTCATTTGTTGATGGGCATCTAGTTTCTTTCCGTAGTGTAGCTTTGTGAACTGCTTTGCTATAAACATGGGTATGCATGTTTCACTACAGTGTGATGTCTTTTAATTCTTTCAGGAATATATCCAGGAGAAAGATAGCTGGGTCAAATGAAATTTCTAATTTTAGTTTTTTAAAGACTCTCCATACTGAGTTTATAGTGGTTATATCATGTGTTATTTAATGTGAGTTTTATATTCCCAACTATGACAGAAACTTGACAGCTGTGTTTCCAACTAATTTCTTTTTTTCTCTTTGAAACCAAGCTATGCTCTCTCACTTTCCTCTCCAGTTAGGTGGCACCATATGACTGACCTCTGGCCCAAGGAAGGGGGCTAAAAGTCACGTAAACTGGACCTCACCTCTCTTTTGCTCACCTACTCTTCCTTGCTGTCAACTAGGTGGCCTTGAAATTCTTATTAGAGGGTCAGACCTTTTGCTCTCGTTTCCTGAGTGACTCTGTGAACAGTGTTCCTCTCCTCCCATTACCATATGGATTCCATTTGACAGTTAAATAAACTCATAGTTTCAACATTGAGGTTGCAGATTCGCTCTTTATAGTAGCTACTGTTCACTTAACCAGTATCTCATCCCAGTTGGTCTCCATATTGGAAGGATTCTTACTAATTCTCTTTAAAAATGGTGTTATTTACTTTTAGAATTTTGCTCTTATGTTTTTGAAACAATCATTTGGCAATATTGGAGTATAATGTGCTCTTTTTTCAAATGCTTCTGGTCTTTTTAATGAGAATGCAGAGGGCCTGTCCATAGATTTTTAACAGTCCAAGAGTAGGCCTCATTCATAGTTTGATGCATTCACTGTAGTGTATTGTTGCATAGTCCAGATGCTGACTGCTGTGGGAGGTCAGTCAGGCCAGAGTCCCTGGCAGTCTTCTTAACTACAGGCACATGTTCTTTCTGTGAGACACCTAAAGGATGCACATGATAGAGTACATACACCCAGAAGTCAGCTTTTGGCAAGCTCAAATGTATACTTCCACAAATACTTAATCATTATGTATAGCCCTTTATGTGTTGCTGGATCTGATTGCTAGTGTTTTGTTAAGGATTTTTGCCTGTGTGTTCATACTGGGCCATGGACTTTAAAAAAAATTTTTTTTGTCCTTATTATACCTTTCTTTTTGGTATCAAGGTAGTTTTTACCTACAATGAGTTTGGAAGCGTTTCTTCCTCTTCTAGTTTTTGGAAGAGTTTTTGAAGAATTATTATTTAAATTTTTGATAGACTTCACTAAGACATTTGGGTTTGGACTCCTAAAAACGTTTTTAAAATATTCATTTTTGTTGTTAGAGGACTAGTCATATTGTCTGTTTCTTTTTGAGTCAGCTTTTGGTAGTTTGTGTGTGTTTTTGGTTTTTTTTAGTAATTTGTCCACTTTATCTAGTTTATCTTATTTTTTAGCATACTATTGTTTTTGGTGTTCCCTTACAATTCTTTTTATTTCTGTAGTGATGTATCTTCCTTTGTTTTTGATTTTAATAATTTGATTCTTCTTTTTCAGGATCAGTCAGTACGTGTAAAGGCTTCTCAATTTTGTTGATGTTCTCAAAGAACTAACTTTTGGTTTAAACAGTTTTCTCAATTTTTTTCTGTTCTTTGTTTCATTTATTAATTTCTGTTTTTATTATACCTTCCATTTGTTTTGGGTTCTATTTGTTCTTGTTTTTGTAGTTTACGATTTAATGTTAGGTTATTGATTTGATGTCTTTTTAAAATACAGGTTCTTATAACTATAAAATAACATGTAAATGTGGTTTTTACTGCATCCCATAAAGTTTAGTATGTTGTGTTTACGTTTTCAACTTCTCAAAATTATTTTTTAATTTCCCTTGTGTGTCTTTCCTTGGCCTGTTGTTTGATGATGAGTATGCAATGTGATCAACATTCACCAACAGAAAGACAGGCTCATAAAAACAATGTAATATGCCCTCATCTACTTATTCACTGGATCTAACAGTGTAGGACTTCCAACTTTCCTTAAAGTCAAAATGACCATGAAAGATATACATTTTGAATTGATTCAGGACAGTGAGTCAGCAGACATGACAGAGCAACTAAAGACACTAACTAAAAAAGACTTCCAGAATTGCTCCAGAAAGTGGCAAGAACAATGGGATAAGTATTTTGGGAGAAAGGGGGAATGCTTTGAGAGGTTTAATGGCAATGTGTCTTTTACTACAATAAATTTTTAAAAATTTAACAACCATATTTTAAAAATTATCCCTTATATGTGTAATTTCTCCATGTTGATGAATTTTCAAACTTTCTTCTACTTTCATTCCATTGTGGTTGGAGACCGTAATCAGTCACTCAGATCTGTTGTGTTCTAACATGTGTGTATCCTGAAAGGTGTAACTTATCTCTGGAGCAGCGTCTGTATCCTGTTTTTGGTCTACAGATAATATTAGTTCTGGTTGATCTGCAGCATTGGTCACAACTTCTTTTCCCTTGTTATCTTTCATCTGGTTATTTTATTTGTTGTTGAAAGTGAAGTTGTGCAGTTTGCAACCATTTTTCCTGCATTATCTATTTCTTCATTTCTATCAGTTTTTGCTTCATGTAGTGAAGGTCTGTTTGAATTATATATAACTAAGTCCTCTTGATATATAGGTTCTTCAGTCATTGTAAAGTGTCACTCAGACTTTTTTGGTTACTGTTTGCATATATTCCTGTTGTCTTATGTTGAGCCTACGAATGTTTTTGAATCAAAAGTGTCTTTATTGTAGACAACATAAAGTTGCATCTTGATTTTTCTTCCATTCTTTCAATCTTTTTTAAAAAATAGCTTTATTCAGGAAAATGTACATGCAGAAAATATACCTATTTAAAATACACTTAGGAAGGGTCTTGACAAATTTTCTCTCCTGTGTAACTGTTGTTGGTCTGTTTGCCCTGTTACTCTGCTGGCCTAGCCCTCGAGGTTTTTCTTTTTTTTAAATTTTATTTTAATTCTTTTATTGGTACATTTTAGGTATACAGTTCATTTACATTTATCATTGGGTGTTTGTACCTGTACATGATATATCTTGGTTCTTATTTTTTTCCCTGTTACCTGTGCACCCTTCACCCCCTCCACCCTTTCCTATTTACATAGATTTCATTTACAT